ATCGTGTGTTGATGACCGGGAGATCACAAGAGATCAACGAGTCTCAAAGAATAATAAAATAAAAAAAGGAACCGGCGCGTTTTTCCGACCACCGGTGGCGGCCGGGCGGCGGCGGCGTCGACTTGCAGAAGGTGTAGAGGTTTTTTGCCTTGATGTCCAAGCAGTACAAGATCAACCAGGATTTTACTGCTTAAAGGAGTTCAAGTTGAACAGGGAAAGAACTGTCACAGTTTCCTTGTTTAAGGAGACTTAATATTTAATGGCCATAATAGTGGATTTATTTATTTATTTAAATTCATTATGCCATTAATTATTATTTATGCATGTTAATTAATTATGTTCTTGCATGAGATTAATTTAGTATTGCAAGAATAATTATGCATATTAATTAATTATATAATGCATAGGATTAATTTAAGAATTGTATCAATAAATTATGCATGTTAATTAATTAGTGCACTAGCATAGATTAATTTAGAATTGCATGAAATATTTTACATGATAATTAATTATTGCATTGACATGGATTAATTTAGAATTGCATGAATTATTATGCATGTTAATTAATTATTGCATTTACATAGATTAATTTGCAATTGCATAAATAGTTAAAAATCCTCATTAAATTATACTAAGTTTGAGAAGGAATTTTAAATTAAAATTAATTATAATATTCCTAAGGCCTCCATTTCTAATTTGTCGGTAAATCAATTAATTGCGGTAATGGGCTCCCCCACGGGTGACATTGCTAAAATTAATTGTAGGAAATTACCAGGACAAATTTCTAAAATTAGACGGTTAGAGGAAATCTCAAGCGAGCGCATGGGCCTCCCCATGGGAGATGTGTAATCAATTTGGACGACCTCAGAATCGAGAAATGGGATTCACTTAGAATGTGATTTATTTATAAACTCCCCACGGGGTCCCTGAATTTATTGCATGGCCAAATGGAGACCGGCTATTAATTTCGTTCATCATGAATTTGGTTTTGACTTATGGAAATTAATGGGCCCTTGAAAATCCCTTCTCTTACAAAATGCGAGTTTGTAGGGCAACCCACGTAGTATGCATTCTCACGAGGTGTAATAGATGTCGGTGAATTTAAGTTAATATTGTTTTGAGGATATCAATATTAACAGTTAAATTCAAATGTGTTTAATCTGTAAAATTATTTGCATGATTCTCAGGATATTCATCATGTCGTTTAATCCGTTGTCTGTCATTCTACAAGAAAATTAGCTTATTGGTCCTAATTACATTGATTGGAAGAGGAACTTAGACATAGTGTTGACTGTTGAGGGTTATAAGTTTGCAATCAATGAGGCATGCTCGGCAGTGCCGGCAGCTGATGCTCTTGAGCAGGAAAAAGAGGAGTATGCTCGGTGGAAGAAGGTTGATGAGATGGCGAAGTATTACATTCTGGCTTCTATGTCGAATGTTTTTCAACATCATCATTAGTCTATGGACACTGCAGCAGACATACTGCTCAATCTCAGGAATCTATTCGGACATCAATCTAGGGCTGCTAGACAAGAGGCTTTGAGTGCTCTGATGAGTATGCGCATGGCCGAGGGCACACCCGTAAGAGAGCACTCCCTCGGGTTATGGCGCAGCTCAATGAGTTTGAGGTTATGAGAGGTTTTATTAACGGGGAAACCCAGGTTGGTATTATGCTCCAGTCTTTGCCGAGCTTTGATCAGTTTCGGTTGAACTACAACATGCACAAGATGCATATGGCTCTTCCAGAACAACTTGCAGAGCTTCAGTCGGCGGAAGCCTTATTCACTCAGGCTCCTCAGGTGCTAGTCGCCGAGCAGGCTGGACCTTCCAGGCCTCACAAGGGCAGGAAGAGAAATAAGTTTGCAGGAAAGGCGAAGGCACAGGACGCTCCGGTTTACCCACGACCGGCCCCTCAAGGTGTGGCAAAGAAACCCAAAGGAAGATGCCACAAGTGCAACAAGCCAAGACACTGGAAGGTCGACTGCCCTCTCCTCAATAAAGGTAACTCTCTCGTTAATGTCGTAGAAACATGTTTAGCCGTTGTATCTACCAGAACCTGGTGTGTAGATACTGGAGCCACTAATCATGTATGCAATTCTTTGCAGGGGTTACAGGAAACCAAGCGTCTTAGGGAGGGAGAGATCACCATCTACATGGGCAATGCTACGAAAGTGACGGCTGTTGCAGTGGGAGATGTTACATTATCGTTTGATAGTAGTAGTTTGGTTTTGAGAGATTGCATTTATGTTCCTAGCTTTAGAAAGAGCCTTGTTTCAGTTTCTAAACTCGTTATGGATGGTTTTTCAGTTTTGTTTGATGACATGGTTATTATTTGTTTTGGAAATCGTTTCATATGTTGTGGTTCATTAGTTGGCAATTTCTATGTTCTCAAACTAAACTCTCCCACAGTGCAACTAAATGAATTGAATAATGTCATAACTACATCTAATAAGAGGAAGGAGTCTTCGCAGATGAATCAAGCATATCTGTGGCACCTTAGACTTGGGCACATCAACCTTAGGAGGATTCAAAAGTTAGTGGCCAGTGGACATCTCGGTCCATTGGAAGAGCACTATCCAACTTGCGAATCCTGCCTAGAAGGTAAGATGGCCAAGAGGCCGTTTACGGCAAAGGGGTATAGGAGCTAAGAAGTGCTAGGACTGATTCATTCTTATTTGTGTGGTCCTATGTCGATCCAGGCTAGAGGAGGTTTCGAGTATTATGTGTCTTCTATAGATGATTACTCGAGATTTGGGTACGTTTACCTGTTGCACCGCAAGTCTGAATGCTTTGAGAAATTCAAGGAGTATCGGGCAGTTGTGGAGAAGCTTCATGGTAAATGTATCAAGTCGCTTTGTTCTGATCGAGGTGGCGAATACCTCTTTGGAGAGTTCACGACATACTTATCGGAAGTTGTGGAGAAGCTTCATGGTAAATCATATGTATGTATCCACGAGTTTTCGTTGGCTATCCCAATGAAACGAAAGGTGGATTATTTTATAGTCCCGGGGATCAGAAGATGATCGTTTCGACGAACGCTAGATTCTTGGAAGAAGACTATACTATGAATCATAAGCCCGCGAGTAGATTAGTCTTAGAGGAGTTAAGGAGTGAAGTTGATGGTTCCCCACCGAGTGCGCAAGTAGATACATCACATAATACTGCAACACGGCACACTAAGAGTGTACCAGTGCAGACAGTGCCTCGTCGCAGCCATATATTGGATTATATTTGCATAACTCGGTTTTACAGAAAAATAGTTAATCCACTATTATGGCCGATTATGTGTTTGATGAATGTTGTTGAATGTGATGTATGTTTTTAAATTTATTTTTAAAGCCTCAGACATGTCGAGGAATTCATGGATGAATGTTTGTAATAATTATTCGGCCGTGGGTTGACCGGATAGATTTAATTATTTGTTTAGAAAACATGTACATCCATTCGTTGGATCTAAGATCGAATTATATAATTTTGTAAATTATATTTTTTGTGTTGTGATCGTGTGTTGATGACCAGGAGATAAAAAAATGTCTAAGAAAAGAGAATATATATACAATCTTCTAATAAATCTCTAGCTGCTCTTGCTATTTTTACTCTCTAATATCATCAATTTTTCTAGTAAATTAAAGAAATATAACTAATTCTAAATACATTGTTAAAAAAATGGTTAAAATATGAAAAGTTACTATTTTGCTGCATGTATTAATTTCATGATAACTTAAAAAAATTCAATATTTTAAATAGATATTATTTTCGATTAATGTCAAATTTAACTCACTAAATATTTTGATTAATTCCAAATAAATATCTGGATATTGACACGTACTCTATCTTTGTACACCCTTGGTAACTTGCTAAATCTGGTTGCCTCATGAAACTATGGAAGCCTTGAAAACAACATTAATATGTGGCCTTCACGCACCCACCGTGAAGTCCTTTCAACAATAACAGTTGAAGATCATTAACTCAAGTTGACCAAATAGTAAGTGCGCCCATAACTAAGGGCCATTATAGTCATTTAACCAACAACAGACGTTGGACACTTACTGTAACTGTCACAGTAACTATCCCCACTACTCACACTCGTGACGAGTTGAACCGAACAGCCTTTTCACGATTGAGAACACCACTTAATTCTTCCACAAAATTTAGTAACGCTCAATTTTTGTTTGAATTAAAATCTAATGCACATTTAAACATTACTGCATTGTTTTCAAGAAAATAAATTTTGATACTTGCCATTGTAAAATGTATTAACTAACACACTCTTAGATAAATTCTTAAATATAGAGTTGTGTAATGATCTTGTGTGAAATTGGAAAGAATAAAATTGCAGATCAAATCTCTATATTTGTCTGTCTGCAATTTAATCCCAATATATTGATTTCATATTAAAAAAACTATGAGTTTTTAATTTTTGCAAGCCAAGCACGCATTGAAAAAATCGGCTAACAAGGATTTGTGTGTCAAAATTGTTATTCATTAACAGGTAAAGAAAAAGAACAACTCGTCATAAATAAATAAAAAATACACCTCCGCCTTATAAAATATTTGGGTAAAGTCTAATTTGTAATATATGAGGAAAATTGAATAATCTTAAATCTAAATTTATTTGTGAAATAGTAACATTAGCAACAACCCTAATGTTATTTTGTTGTGTTTTGCTATTCTCAGGCTGGTGTTTTTTTAATATTAAAATTGAAAGGGTGAAATAAAATTACAAATAAATTAAAGGTTAAAATTTTATGCTCATATTAGCCAAATAAATATATATATATATATATATATATGAATAGGCATAAGGCGAAAAATGTCATTTAACAAAATACAAAAATATATAATCTAGTATGGACTCTAGGCAGTGAGTCAAACTCAACCATTTCACCAACTGTACAACAGTGAACACACAACATATATAAACACGCACAAACACACTAGTCTACACTCGATTGATGAGAAATTAAACTGGTACTCGGGAATATCTCATATCATATATCATGGGTTTTGAAGCAGGCGATCTCCATGGACCAATCTCTACACCCAAATTAACCCTAACAAAACTCCCATACCGCAGGCCGAGGCGGCCGCCGCCGATTCAAACCCCGCCGCTCCTCCCGTCGCTCTCCGTCCCGTTCCGGTGGGAGGAAGCGCCGGGAAAGCCCCGGTCCGCCAGCCCTCCACCGCCCTCCAAGTGCCTCGATCTGCCACCAAGGCTGCTGCCGGCGCACGGGGATGCAAATATGACCGATATGCCCTCGCCCACCACCGTCCTGGACGGGCCCTACGTGGGCCGGTCGCTGTCCCTCGCGTGCACTTTTTCGTTCCGAAGGGGCCCGAGGCCCGGCACGAGGTCCCGGAGGTGGGGGAGCTTTGGGTGGGAGAGGAAGTGGTGCGAGAGGGGTAATATGGACATTTCGCGTTCGCTCGGCGAGTTTTTCAGGAGCGAGAGGAACGCGAAAATGGCGAGAGGTAGAAAGAGAAGGAGCTTCTTCAGCTTTTCCAGGGCTACCTCGAACCTGTGGGTGAGTACAGAGTCCTTTTTTGTGTTTTTCTAATTAAATTAGCATTTAGAAAAAAAAATATATATATATAAATCGATTGAACCTGTGAATTATTTAACTTCTGATAATCATATTTTTTTAATTGAACTTGTAAATTGTTTATATTTTTCTTAATTGGCCAAGTGTGACGGAATTAAGGTAATTTTTACATGCTCAAATGAGTAAAAAAAAGGCCAACATGCCAAAATTATTGATTATGTGACTTTTGTGTATATGTAATTAATATTTTCAATTTCAGTTACTTTATATGGTTACAGTTTGGTACTAAAGAAGTATTTAGATGAGATTAAATTTGAATGAGGCAGGGCGACATATATGCAAGCTTGAAGCAGCGATTCCATGGAGGAGGGACACGCAGCTGAAATGGTGAAACCAACTTTTGATATGAACTCTGAAATTGTATATTCACCATGAAATTAGTTACATTTTGATCCAAGAATCCTTCCGACTTGGTTAATGTTAGAGAGACAGGGAGAGAGAGCGTTTATGCTTGCTGTCTACTTCAAAATTAAAATCTACTAATTTTTTCAGATTAATGGCTTTTAAAGCGTAATATCATTATATTTGAAAATTGTTTTGAAGTTTCTTAGGTGGCATGTTATTCTACGTTGTATGTTGATAGTTTGGGCCAAGTAGATCCTGTTTATTTTTATATAATATGTTATTATGTATATGCTAGAAAGAGTTCGACAGTGGTAAAAACAGCCGGCCAATTATATCTGTTGATGCTAATCGACAATTTATTTAGTGTGTGATGGAAGTCTTAGAAGATAAAATTCTTGGAAGTTTAAAGGATTTGAAGTAACGCTAGTTTTTTATTTTTCTTCAACACTCATAAATTTGTTCTCTTTCATGGAAACTACTCATTTATATATGAGAAATTATGAGAAATGTTATAGGTACATAAAATTGTACATATGAGTGTACATAACACTCACATTGAGTGGGACTTACTAAAAATAAAAAATCAAGTGGACCTCACTCCATGTGAGTGTTATGTACAACTCTATGTACATTTGTTATGTACTTGTAGCATTTTCCTTTATATATATATATATATAGAATTTGGATCAAATGAGAAAGGAAAATAGTGAAAGAAGTGAGAATAAATTTGGATAATTGGATACATCATATAAATGGTTAGAATTAAATCAAAATCTGGTCAATCATTAATGACAATATGGTAATTTAACATATGCATTGTGGTCAAATGTATATATTTGTTCACTTAGTAAAGATAAACAGACAATACCAAAAATATTACAACTCATCAACCATACCGTGGGCCCCACCCAAACCCACCCTCAACTTTCTCTCTCACGCACCATCTCTCACCTAACACTCACAATCTCCACGAAGCCCGCAGGTTAGCTCATGGCCACCGTTCGGCGCCAGTTGCCACCCTCCGCCGATTGCCGTTGTCGCCTTCGAAGCTGCCGTAATCTCCACCATTTTCATCGCCCGTCACTCTCGCGTCATCTATATGTATATATATCCTTCTCAATCTATCTGCTCGTTTTCAATTTCTTTTCCAGAGAAGGCCAACGCCGGCCTCTCTTCTCCGGCAAACTCAAACCAGGTTCCAGCTGACGTTTACAGTCTAATACGCGTTCTCCATTTGTTGTCGAGTTCCTGTCATTCCTCGGCGACGACGTCGAGTAAATAATTTCAAAAACTTAAATCACAAATTCACCTAATTGCTAATCTCAATCAAATCGGCGATGAGGTTAGGCTTCAGGCCGCGCCGTCGGGATCGATCCGGTGTCATTAGCATGTCATCGAAGGTGGCGGACCTGAGCACTACAGCCAGGTTGGGATGAACGACAAGGATGGAGTGGTGATGTGACTAGGGTCTTAATTTTGAGAATTGGACATGTACCAGGGACTTATGTGCAAATTAGGATAATATAACTATATTGCAATTTGAGTTCTTACGTTAATTTTGTAATTTGTTGAAACTTAGTCAGTGCACAATACTGATAAGTAATTTGCACAGGATTAACACGAAATTTTTATAACTTAATGGAGACACAATATTGACAAGTAAAATTTTAAAAACAAAGCCGATATTGAATTAAAATAACCGAATGTTTAAAAGTAAAAATAAATAATCGAACTGATATATAAAGATTCGAACATAAAATTTTAAACCGCTTAGTTTCGTTCTTGTGTAGTTACAAAAATATTAATGTGCAACTCGTCTATCCAACCAATTTAAAATTGAACCGATATATTTAGTTTATTTGGTTGGTTAACTGAAATATTTAGTTTATTCGGTTGGTTGACCGAGTTAACCAAAATAATCAGAATAAAATGTTATTTAATTTATAAAATATGTGTAGTATTTTCAATATATATATTTTATATTACACACACACACACACACACACACACACACACACACATATATATATATATATATATTGCTGAAATGAATAATTTTGTATACAAAAATATAAATTCGACACCGAACCTAAAGAATTTAATTGAAAGTAATAACAAAAATTCGAATCAAAATGACCGAAATTTTAAAAGTAAAAAACATATATGTGACTGTCATATAAACATTGAGTTCGAAAATTTTAGTTCGGTCAGTTTTGGCCACTATTGTGCAGTCTGTCAGACATTAATGTGCAATTCGTCTAATACTAATGTGTAATGTTTTGGTCACTATTGTGCAGTTTGAACATACTGAAATTTTCTTACAACCCAAATTGAAACTGAATTGAATTACTTGGTACAATTTTAATATGCATATTCTAATGAATTGATTTTCAATTTTTTAATATTGTTCATTGATTAATTTTTTAATATATTATTAAACTTTTAATAAATTATAGATTCGACCCATGAACTAAATTGTTGTCGTTACCTAACCTCGGTACCAAGAAACCAACTACTCAACCCCTAAGAAAGTTTGTTCGTCCAGTCAAAGGAGCTAAGATGGAATACGGAGAGGAGCTCCAAAATTCTAAGTATTATGACCCAAAAGCTTATAAACTCCTTGCAGATCTTGATACAATCCGAAAGAAGTGAATATTCTAGGAAAACTTCTTCCGCAAGCATTAAAAGCTCAAACGAAAGATACTGTGTTTCAAATACTAGAGTTGGTCTCGAATTTGTAGTACCAAATGCATTTCGGATCGCTATAAAATGAGTCAGTTCTAATCATGTGTCTGAAGAGGGATTTTCGTCCACTAATCATTTGAAGAATGGAAAAAGAAGATCAGTATTTGAAAGGCTCGGACCCGTTCAACAGCTAGAATCCAAAAGAATAGTCATCAAAGACTTAGTATTTGAAGGATTGTATGATACGGGAAAATAGAAAGGAAGTTCCATAAGATTCGAAGTTTGATAACTTCACAAATGAGGAGAAAAACCACATTGATTACTTCATGTGGTAATGTCTTGAAGGCGATGCATAATCGTGCACACGAGAGTAATGGGTGAAGAAGAAAGTAATGGAGAATGCGTCGCTTCATCTAATCAAATGAGTGGTGTTGTCCCGAGAGTAAATACTCGAAACCTCGAAGGCACCTTGTATTGAAGAATCGCTGCATTGGTGAGAAAATGGTGTATTAATGAAGACTATGCCAGTTTGCGTCGTGTCGTTAGAAGAGACGGACAAGTTAGAACATGTATTGATTTCAAAAGTCTTGTTGAGGATTCCCTTGTTGAGCTTGAAGAAAGAGTTAAGGCTACAGTTGATGAATTGAAAGAGGTCAACTTAGGAGACATGAAAAATCCTCGATCAACTTATATCATCACCCTTTTGTCTAGTGACGAGGAGGAGACTTATATTGAGCCGCTTCATGAATATAAAGATGTGTTTTCCTGGTTGTACAAGGAAATGTTTCGGTTAGATCCAAAAAGGGGCACATTTCTGAAATTTCATCCATGTTGATATTTTCGGTTTCCCTTGACGATGCCGCAAGCTGGTGAATTGCATCCACCAAGCCGCCGCCCGACCCCAAAATCGCGTGGCGACCAGAGCAACCCGTCTCTCGTCCGGGACCTCCTTAATGCGAGAACAGACTCCACTGCATCCCACCAGTCGAGAAAATCTGATGCTTCCACTCCTCTGTAGAACTCGGGAATCTCAACCCGAAACCATAGCTCCCAACGCGACTCATCGCCTCCTTCTATCGAACGCCTGCCGTCGCGTCGATGTTGCCGACCTCCCAAACCTCCACGGTCTTCGAACGCCCCACGCCACTGATTACCATTGCCGTCAACATCCCTGCGCCTGTCACGTCAGAAATTGCCATCTATATCGACGTTGTTGTTCGCCTTCCTCGTAGAATAGCCCATCGCGACCTCCGTCGTGTCCCTCATGCGCAAGGGTCTTCCCCGTCGTGCTGCTGGTACCCATCGGCGAATGGGTTGTCAACAATTAGGGTCTCATCGGTACTTTCGTCGCCTGGCAGTGGGTGTGGTGACCGCTGGTGGGGCGCCCCGCCATATCCACCACGTCCACCGCAAAACCCTCCGAGCGCGCCCTGGTCGCCAGCGTCGCGGTTCGTACGCACCTCCACCATCATGGTTCGCATAGCCGATCGTAACTCCTCGATCCTCGTGGAAAGGTCCGTGAATCGATCATTCATCCCTTGAATCCGATCGTCCATCCGTTGCAATCGGTCATCGATGGCAGGATCGTTGGCAGCGTTTCCTCTCTTTGGTTGCATCGCGGATCGTCGCTGGTCTCTGGATACCAATTGATGTAGAACGTGAATATGAAAGGAAAAATACGAAACAAGCTTTGCACAAATTTCTTATTTCTTCGATAATAAAACTGATCTCTTCTGGTAGGAAGAGAACAAATAAAACAGAAAGTCCAATACTCCTAAACTATTAATTATCTATTTTCTAAAATGATAATAAAACCCATAAAAATGCAAGACTACTTAATAATGGAAAATAAATAGACTAAACACGAAGACGATCATATTTATTCAAAAATGCGATCGCGGTCTCGTCTCCATCACATGATATTCCTAGAATGATGAAGTGGGAAGTTTGACGAGTGATGAGCGACTCTTTATTCATAGGACATTCTCAATATTCCAATAAGGTATTTTATTTTACCTCTTTATTTACATATGATTTTTCAGATTACATCCATTAAACAACCTGATGTGGTTTTTTATTCATTATTTTATAGTTTAAGAATTTGATACCCACTGATATAGAGAAGCAGACTTTTTTTTGAATTTTTTTTTTTAATGTGTTTCTTAGGAATGAAACTCCATCAAGTTGTACTACTCTTTAATCCACCTGATTTGGATGTGGTGACTCGCCTGAATATTTTATCAATCAACCAAAGACAGTTTTCTAATGATGTTGAATGCTTGAAGCAGTTGATCAAAGATTATTCGAATAGATTGTACTCAGAGTTTGTGCTGTTCAAAGTTGAATTCATTGTAAGTATACGCTGCTCAAACTATCTTTTTTTTTTTCAACTAGGTAAGTGTGTCGAAATTGTTAGAAATATTGTACCTTTACGTAAAACTATTTAATTATAATCATGTCTTACTATGGTATATCAAATTTCTAAGTAATATTTGACTGGCACTCTCACATGTTTAAGTTGTATTTGTATAACAATTGCTCAAATAATACAATTTTATTTATTTATTTATTTATTTTGTGGGGGTTGTATATGATAGTATATATATTTAAAGTTTGACTTTTTGCTTAATAAATACTATCTTTTTCTTAATGAGAATTTGTCTGGGTTTTAAAAAAATGAGCTACCAATTCGTTAGCAACTCATAGACTTCATAACAACATAGATAGGAATTCTGTAATTTTCAGCTATAACTATGGCGCATCACATAATTAAGCTAAGCTGCGGGATAATTGTAGTATTTCTAGAATAAAAACCACTACGAGGTGGATGAGAATATTCTCTAACTCTCGGAGCATCTTCAATGCTATAAGTGTGAAAAACCATTATTTTTTACACATGTCAATTAGTGATTGTAATGTTAATCCACATTGAAATAATGCTAAAAGACTAGAAATTTCAATGAAACTAGTATCTCCAATGCATCAATTTGATAAAAAGTTATTTGTATATTTGGACTAATTAAATAATTCATTGATACAAAAAAAAAATTAAAACAAATATAAAGTAAATTGATGAATCATCATGTTTAACATGGTGTTAGATATTAGAAAATGTGCTCAATATTGTCAACATTAAATGACATCCACCTCATCATGAAAGAGTTCATGACAAGATGCATTGGAGAAAAAAATAGAGACACACTTTCAAAAGTTGATGATATGAATGACATTTTTATAATGTCAAAAGTCGCATCGGAGATGCTCTTAATAAAATCAAGAAATAATTACACCATCCTGAACTCCGAATAAATGCAATAAAACAACACAACTAAGAAAAAACAAAAAACCCCAAAACCGTCGGAAGTTGCAAAAACACTCGTCCAAAACATAAGACGATGATATGGTGATACGAAGTTTTTTTCCAAGTGCTACAAAAGGAGAGAAACTTGGATGACACAAAACTTAAAAATGATGTTTGTCAATTACAAAACATAACTGGGTGTAATTGTAAAAACCCAAACCTCTAGTAATTTTTGTACGTTTCCCTAAAATCAGAAGAAAACTGACAACTATCTTCACCTCAACTTTGGAATGTATCAGAATAAGCCCTTAAGGAACATAAAATGCATGAGTTTGACAATAATTTAAAAGATTGTAACTTCATTTTTACGGAAAATGCAGCCATGTATGGTGATTGATGACACGACTCAGACCCCAACTGGACTGGACTCAACCATATGCATATGCAAGCATGACAACAACCTTAGACAGATATGGCACGAGCAATAGCCACCCTTGCCCACTCGGCAGATTCTTTAATTAAATGGTCCTCAGAAGTCAGGCACTCGTTCAAAAAGTCTTTGCTCGACTGAGATTGCTGCATAAGAGAAGTAGCATTGCTTCCCAGAGTATCTGCTAAATCTCCAAGCACACCGATTGCAGTTTTCATCACTACATCATCCCTGTAACCAAACACGTGAAACAATCAGACATCATCATATACAAATAAATATCATAACTTTATGTATGTAATCTTACAGAGTATATCACAGGAGATTCTTATATGTTGCGGAAATTCCAAACATATATGTTTCTTACCGGGCTACATTTCATGTTTCGGAAATACATGATGTTATGGAAATACATGATGATGTTTCGGAAATTCCAAACATAATTTCCGAAAACATATAAGAAAAACTGCCTCAATAATTACAAACATCATATATGTTTCGGAAATTCCAAACGAATATATACTTACCGGGCTACATTTTATGAGATCGAAACATATATATCACAGGGGGTGTATTTGTAATTATTGAGGCAGCTAAACCTCCATGGTTTTCCCCTAGTTTTAGAAAAATAATCTAAAATATATTTGATTAAATAAGTTTATACTCACATATCTTTCGCAATGTACATGCTGTCCAAGAACTGCAGAATGTGAGGCGCATACGTCATCAGGAGCTGGGTTTTCGCCGAGTTCTTGAAACCCTGAAATATACCCGAATACGCCTCAAGAATCCCATTCCTGAGGAGATTCGTATATTCGATCATCTCATCATCGCAGCCCGACGTCTGAGCAGACAATTCTGCCGCACTCTGAAGCATGGGCATTGCATACATCAAATACTTCTCGAAATTCTCCCCTATCGCAAGCGCAATATCCCCAAAGCACGAGAAAATGGGAGGCTTCACAGACCTATGCAGCTCATTGCTCGACAAATCCTTCAAAAGCAGGGTCATTATCCCATCACAGTAAGGAAGTACCTTATCCTCCAATGCCCTGCAAACATCCCCCACAATTCCAACAGTGACCGCACAAACCTCGTACTCCTCAAAATTCTGCAGGCCCATCTCCAGATACTTGTACAGATCCGGCACATACTTCTCAAAGGCAGGGCCCATCAAGTAGGCAAAAGCGCCAATGGCGAGCATGGCCTCCTCGTGAACAGTTGCACTCCTGCACGCAAAGACCTGCAGGAAAAGGCTCATAATCTGGTCCGCATACTGCACAAGGGCGTGTTTGGTTGATTCGGAAGCCCCAAGTTTCTGGATGATGACCTGGAGGCACCCGCACAGCTGGCCCTGCAGCTCGTTTTGCTTCTCCCTCTCGTCAGAAGAGAGTGTTTGCGACTGAAAAGTATTGTGAAGCTCGGCCATGATGACTTGGACGAGCTCCAGAACTAAGCGGGCAGTCTCGTCCCCAGACGAGGACCTCACGACCTCGTTCAGCGTTTCGTAAGCGGCAGTTCGGAGCCGAGACTCGCCAGCATCTTCCCTGCGAGTGGCGTCGAGAAGTGACCGAATAATCTCTTGGAAGTAAGGGGTCAGTGGAGAAGGCGGGATTACATCCTCATAGCCATGGGCCAGGAAATAGAGGGCCCCACAAGCCTTTTCGGCCACGTTTGGGGCAGCATTATTCATGCTCTGGAGGAGAACAGTGATGATATGCTGGAGGTTGGCAGAGGTGATGACTGGGTTCTCGGAGGTCGACACGTGAAGGAATTCGAAGATTCTCCCGAGAGTCCATGCGGTTGTGTCCTTCACGTGGCTGCTCGGGTCATTGGTCAAAGCGGTCAGCATGAAGTTGAGAGCAACGTTGACGAGAGGGATTAATTTTTCGGAGGAAGGGCCTTCCAATATGGAGCCGAATGCGTAAGTGGCGGCCTCTCTCTGCCTCCAGTCAGGTTTCGTTATGTTTTCTTCTATAAATGGCACCACAAGCGGCACAATATCATCCCCGACTGTACGGGCCACCAAGCCAAGACAAGTTCCGCCGGCCATTGCACGGTTCCACGAGCCTTCATCCTGGTCTTGGTCTTCTTCTTGCTTGAGAAGCGTTTGAAGTAGCAAAGGGACGAGTGCAGGCAGTGCCTGTTTGATGAAATTGAAGAACGGGACATCAGAATCGCCGGTGAAATCGTCTCCATACTCCTCCAGAATATCAATCTCCTCGTCACAGACCGAACTCCAAAACTCGATTGCCTGAAGAGCGACGGGCTCCTCATCATCCAGGAAAGCCTTGGTCGTGATGTTGAAGATGTCCTGTATGTACGTAGACAACTGCTCATAATAAGTCGAGCCGATTGAGACCAGACACTCGAATGCAGCCCGCCGGATTTTGATTTCAGGCGATAGAGTGGCCTCACACACAACCTTCATTATGTAATCACGCTCCATATCATTGGAAAAGTTTGCCCGGGCAAACCCAAGCGCGTTGTACAAAGCCCGGGTGGCAGCATGCTGGACTTCAGTATTACCACCGTTAGCATTCATGCCTTGAACCACAGCTGTGAGTATCTTATTTACTTCATCTTGATCGACAATATCAGGTTCGACTTCTTCACACATATACCCCAGTGTCTCAAGGGTGGCTTGCTTGAGATGGGGCGAGACTTGATGAACATTGGATAAGAGGGTAGCTACTAGCTCAGGCCACTGCTTATGTGGCATTTCAATGCCCGCAACCTTGGCAATGACTTGTGATGCTGTCGAACGAGCATCCGGTGCAGCAGAAGAGAGGGTCAGTAACAAGCCTGCTTTGATCTGTCCCTTCACTGCAACATCCAACGATAGCCATCTTTGGAAATGCTCGTGCTTCATGTGCTTCTCCTTGGCATCCAAAGCATTTTTAAGAATCAAACCTGCTAATTTACGGCTTTCCACAGGCTTCTCCTCATTAGCAAGCTCCCCGGAAAGGGACAGCAAGAAGGCAGGAGGGTTTTGTTCCTGAAACTGTTTCAGAGTTTCTTCAGCATGCTTCCTTACAGTTGAATCAACAGCTTGGGCACTCAATAGAACCTGAGTGATTTCCATAGCCATATTCTCCCTGCAAACATCAAAACATAGAGAACATTTTATAAATTAGACAGTCAAAGTGGTACGGGTTCAAAGCCAAATAATAGAGCAAGAATTCAGTTTTTGTTTAAAGAAGTCACATTTCCAATAACACAATACTTGAAAGTAAATGAAAACAGGACCAAAATCAGTTCAAAAACTTTAGGAAAAGCCCATATTTTTAGCAATCAATAAAAACTCAGCTCATGGTCATGGAATACTCCACTGAGGACAAGTGCCAAAATAGATTTTCAACCTACCTAACCATTAACCACATTATGAAATTAATCCAACTTACAAAAACATACAATCAGCTAAACACTCACAAATAGCTCTAGTAGCGATTAGACCTGCTGTTGAACAACAAAAACATGCCCAAAAACAAATTCACAAATCACTTGATGTTTCGAAACGGACTCCAGATTACTGAGTTCAAATTCGGAGAGCAACCACATATAAGTCTTCCGCAGCAAGTTTTGGCAAATTAATGGGTCAACCAAATAATTATGTCAAGCGATACCTTCTTTTGCTCTTTCCCCCGCCGGAAGAAAGGAAGCACATCGAAAAATGTAAAAATAAGTATTCTTACAATCAGGAATTGACAGACAAAAAAGAGATGGAACTAAAATTACCTGAGGATGAAGTATGTGAGGAGCGAAAGAGATATTCACTCCGGAACCGGATGACTTCAAAATCGGCGCAAGAGAAAACCCTAACCAGAGCTTTTAAGTGTTTGAGAGAGAGGAAGAGCGGGGTATAGAGCTGAATTTGAATTTTGAAATGTGGAGATCTCAAATATATTTGCAATTATTTTTTTCTATTTTTTAACCCTCTCTATATTTAATACTAGGGTAGAGCCCGGGACTTATTCTTCAAAATTAGTACAGAGCCCGTGCGATGCACGGGTACATAATTTTTAAGCTATTTATCCAGGCTTATAATTATATACATGAATTAAAAAAAAATGTACGTGACCCGTGCAAAGCACGAGATATATTTGTTTGGAGAATATTATATTATAAGATGTAATATTCAATAAAAGTTTATAATACGCAAGAAAAATGTACAATATTCAATAAAAGTTTTATAATATTCAAGTGGAGTCTTAAAGTCTCTTGTACATTAAGACTACTGACAAAACAATATTTTAATCAATGAGTTTCCTTTCCTTGTAGCCAAATTGTGAATGTGATTTGAGAAGTACAACAAATCAATATATAGCTGACTTGCTTTTCTCATTGTAGTTTTTTTTTTCTTTTCTTTTTTTATAATGAATTTAAAGATATTCTAAAATATAGCAAAAATTAATTTTTTTATTACAATTATAAATTTTACTAAATATAAACGGGTAAATTGCACCAAATCCCCCTGTGTTTAACGAAATATGCGCGTTTTCCCACTGTGTTTTAAAAAATACACCAGACCCCCTTTATATTTAAGAGTCTGATGCACACGTTCCCTTTTTTCAATTGGCCCATTAACGGTGTTAGTTTTTATCAAAAACCCCGTTATACCCTCTTAATATTATATTTATATTTACGATAAATTGAATTTATCACGATATATTGAATATATCGCGAGAAATTAAATAAAAAATTTTTGCTGTCTCAAAGGATCAATCCTGAGACCTCATGATACACTAGCAAGCACTTCACCACCACACCACTCTAAGGTTGAGTGCTAGATGAAGTAATGTTTAATATATATAGCATTACATATAGATAAATGAAATTAAATTTAGAAGATAATGTAAATTATATTAAATTAAATTATTAAAATATAAACTTATAATTAGTTAAAATATAATAACTAAATTATATAAAATTAAACGAAAAATAATTAAAATAACTCATTATATTAAAAAACACAAAATAATTGAAATAAAATTATAAATAAATATAAAAATTACTATTATAATAATATTATTGTATTTATTTAATATTATTTTTATTTATTATTATTTATTTTAATTTATATTATTACATATTATTTTGTTGCATTATTTATTTTATTTTATCTTAGTTAACAAACTTTATTTATTTTGTTTAACTTAAGACAATGAAATAAAATTAAAATAAATTTTACTAAATAAAATTTAGAAATTAAAATTATTTATTTACAATTAAAATTATTTACTAAAAAATTAGAATTTATTTCAATTTTTTTCATATTTTATGTAAGAGTAAATCATATTAAAATTATTTGATAAATAATAATTTTTATTTTATTATATTAATTTAAGATTTTTATTTATTTAATTTATTATTTCATAAAAAGTTATTTTATTTATTATTTATTTTACTTTATCATTTTTTTACTTTATTATCTTATTTAATTATTATTTTTATTTTAATTTAATTACTTTATTTTAATTTTATTTATCTTTTAATTTAATTTATGTATTATTTTTTCATTTAAAATTTATATAATTAATTTATTTTAATAATTAAAATATAAATTTATTTAATTTTAATCGACGCTAAATTTTATCTTACATTATTTTAATTTAATGTTTTTTATTATTTTATGTTAATTTAATTTATTGGAAGTTATTATTATTATTATTATTATTAATTATTTGATTTATAGTAAATTGGCCTATTATAATATTATTTTCTTTTATTTACTTTATTTTAAAATATTTAATTCATTTCCGTATGTGTATAAATATATACTTATGTTCAATAAATTACACATCCTTCCATATAGTCCAGTGGTTGAGTGGGCAATCCTTCCCTTCCCAACCCAGGATCGAATCCTACTTCTCACGTTTTATACAATTTTCGATTTTGTAATAACATTTAAGAGGGCAAAAAGGTAAATTATTAATTATGTAAAATAAAAAAATTGAACAAATCTCGCAGCTATAGAAGGTGTCACACACGCGCGGTTAACTTGGCCGGAATGGGGGAACCGTGCATCAGACTCTTAAATATAAGGGGGTCTGGTGCATTTTTTAAAACACAGTGGAAAAACGCGCATATTTCGTTAAACACAGGGGGGTTTGGTGCAATTTACCCAAATATAAACTGTCAATCTATGGTGTTAATCAACGTTTAAGTCTAAAAAATTAGGAATTTTTACCTCATTTAATCAACGTTTAAGTCTAAAAAAAATAGACTTATTATAAGTTTTTTTTCTACATCTTTTAAAACATTAAATATGAGCATGTTAGGGCTAGCTTGTAAAATAATTAATATATTATCTCACTAAAATATTTATACTAATAAAAATTTAATTTTAGCATATAAATTTATCCCTTGATATAAGAGAAAATAACAGTTTTACTTATTGTTGTTCACCATATAATATTTAATTATTATTTTATTATATAATAAAAAAGAAATATTGTTAAATAGTGCAGTAGAATTGTTATAAAATTATATGGTTTTTTTTTTACAATATGGATTTAATATTTTTTTATGATTTGATAATATAAACAAATCTATACTTAACTTTGACAAATAAAACAAATAAATACTTTAGTAAGTATTTAATGTATATACTAAATAAGAATATATTTGGTATAATCAAATACCAAATATAATCAAATAAGTCAAAGTGTACATTTTTATTTGGTATTTGATTTTTTTATTATTAAAATCTTTTTATTATACTTACCTTTTTAAACTAAAACAAATAAATAAATCAATTAACTAAATAAAATATTATAATATCAAAATAGTAATGGCATTTAATGCAGTTGACTTTTCTGGATAGTAAATGTAGTAAATAGAATCTCCTTTTATATAAGTATAGACTGTATAATACGGAAATAGTAATGCAATAAATGTTGTTGACTTTTCTTTATACTAAATCTGGTAAATGGTATATCTTTTAATATAAGTATAGACTTTTTTTAAAAAACTTTTTTTTTTTCTCGAAAATTAGTCACTAAATTATGGCAATAAAGATAAATAATATGTATGAAAACTCATATATTATTAAATACTTCTCTATACACAACATTCTTGGTTTAATTTTCTGCCAAACCTTCTTCTCCAAAAATTAAAATTTTCAAACCATTTCTGTAAGTCTTGGATTTTTAATTTTATCAAACACTTCTCTATATACGATTAATTTTTGAATTTTACCTCATAAGAAAGTCTTAAATTTCTGGAACAGTGTCAACGCCAATCAACAATGTGACATCCTTCGAAGTTGTTACTTGAATTTCATCTAATGTACAAATTAAAGTAAACAACTATTAATTAAATAAGTCCATAAATCTATGAATGTTAAACTAAAAACCCTTTCAATATATAACATGTTGTGATATGGTATGTGATATGGGTATTGTTGATAAAGTTGATAAATATATAATAGAAATTGTATAATGTTGTATGTTATACATTTTTTTTATTTAAATTGGAAGGTAGCGTTTGTCAAACAATTTATGACATTTGAATTCATCTCTTTTTTACGGAATTTTGGTAAACGGTGGTTCATGTGATTGAAATTGTATCATGTTATGGTTTATATTTTTTTTTTTCTAAATAAATTGGAATGTCACGTTTGGTAAACAAATTATAACTTGTGAATATAAATCAAAATTTACAATGAAAAAAAAAAACCGATGTTGATTTTTATATTCAAAATGAAGTTCACTTTTAAAATAATGTCTCTAATTTATCAATGATTTTATGGCAATTAAAGATCGTGTAAATATTGCAAGAAAACATATGAATTATCAATGTCAAACAAAATCTATTTCGTCTTTTTACAAATGCAATCAGATATACATCACCAAAATCTGCAATTTTTTTGGAATACTCGAAAAATTCAAACAGATTGCACAGAATCTGTAATTTATTTAGAATACCAAAAAAATTCAAACAGATTTCATAGAGGCGGGATTTTTCATTTTCTTTAAAAAAAAGTTACTTAATTTAGTATTTATTAAATTTTAAGCGGGAAACCAAATGATTTTTTATGATTTTTTATTACTATTTCAGGTAAATATTATTGCCTCTTTATATATTAATAGATATCTAAAATAAATATTAAGATGATATCGACCATTAGGATGAATTATGACCTAACTTGCGTAACTTCTTCGAGTACAAAAGATTTCAAAAATTAATTTTTGAAGTCTTTATGGTAAAAAGAATTTGGTATGCTTTTTATCATACGGTTAACTTATCAATTTTACAATTACAAATCAAGATTAATGCCAATCGAAAAAATTATATAACAAATAAAATGTGTTTTTCTATCTAAAATTTAGTATGTATCTAATGTTTTTTTTAAATCTTATTCTCTTTTTATATGTATAGATATAGATATTAAAAATACCTAAAATCGTACATACGTAAAAAATATCTAATATATTATATATTATTCTAGAAATATGTGTGAAGTCACCTACACAAATTAACCTATTTATGTATAGATACACCTAGGGTAAAAACATATATCAAGATATGTTTAAAAATATCTAAAATATTGCAACCCAACAAACATTAAGAATACCTAGACTATTATATAACGTATGTAAAAGTGTCTAAAATATTATTTTTTCCAAAATGTGAAATTAACTTTTTTTTTTCTGTAAAAACATGTTTAAAGTTATATCCACTCTTATATATTAGAGCCTAATGCGAAAACATTAGTACTTATATGCGTGAATAATAAATATTACAACGTAAAAAATGACGTAAAAAACATTAATTAGACCGTAAACTATTACAACATAAAAAAACATTAATTAGAGCATACGCTATTTTTATTTTTATAAAATAAGTTGTTGGTGAAAAAATATTCCATATATGTTTCAACTAAGAAAGTTGATTTGT